TATGTTCTTGACACTCTTAAAATTAATTTGCCAGTATTCAAAACAATAAAACATTTAGTTACACACATAAGTTCTTTTAGTTAATAAAAGATATGTTAGTTAGGTTGCCATCTTTTTGTAATATATTGAGTTTTGTGCAATTTGATTTCATACTAACTAATAAATTAGTATGTTCCATTTTAAATTAATTTGTTATGAATATTGTGGTATTTCCTTAATTTGTATCCTTTACAATTTGTGTAAGTATGTACTACCTGGCAGAAACAGCTGTCAGATTTATAGATATGGTGTTCAAAACAATCAATATTTGCAAATTCGTCCTCTTCTTGATCACAATTTGAGGCCCCTGGAGGATCGTACCCTTCTGAAGGTATACATCTATCATCCCACTGTTTTGTTCTGAACATAGTTTCCGAGGTATCTGAACCTAAATGAGTTTCATAAACTAATTTTTTGAAATGTATGCAAATGCAATGTGCAGCACAGATGAAAATAAATAAATAAATAAATATTTCTATTAAACAATAAGATCTGCATATTCACTAACAAATATATTTTGTTACGTACATATATGCAAAATATTTTATTGTAACATATAGTAATAAGAAAAGATTATTTCAATATATTTTATGTAAAAAATTTTAATATGTAAAAACAGATTTCACAATCTGTTCAAATTCTAAGGTTACAATGTGTACTGATCACAAAAATTGTCTTTTATGGACTACATGTAGTAACTGTATTAGATATAAAGATATTTTCCTAGGATAGTAGAGTGTGAAGAAAACGTTTAATTTCTTTTTTAACCGCTTAATTTCTGGAAATGAAAATAATTGCAAAAAATTGCATAAATTCGCTTTAAAAGTCTTTATATTATATTTCTGCCGAAATTTTATTTCAAAACAGTTGCGTATGAACGTAGTTCATAATTTAAATCTTGTTAATAATTCAAAAGAAAATGGTTCATTCTGTTGATTGGTTTCGTCTAAAAACAGAAACGTTTTTAATAGAACCTCTCGCATATCCTTCATCTTTTTCTTCCATGATAGACCTTATAGGTATCTTCGTAATTGTTGAATTTTCCTCATCCATGTACATGATTCATATTTATTTAGTTTATTTTCAATGATCTAAGTATACAAAATCTGTCTATAATGAATCAATTAAGGTGTGTTAATTATGAGAAATCTTGACAAAACGATCACGACGCGGGTTTGCAACAAACTAAAATTACTGTCCGAAAATTTCCCAAGGTACTAGCAGTCACGTGACACGATTTAATCCTACGATGTTACAAATATACATAGAAGAGAATTGGCTTTATTAAAATGATATCTCATCAATCTCTTTACAACTTGTGCTTGATACAAACGGTTGTATATATGTATATGTAGTCCAAAATCCAAACTCTAAACAATACCTTTCTAGATTCAATTTTATTCTCCACCTGCTTCAAATATTTTCGGAAAATGTACTATCGTGATCGTTGAACCCTAATTAATTTATGCTAGTTTATAATAATTTAACATTACAACATTCTTCTAAATTTTTGGATTGGTTTAAAAATAAATTTATTTCAAAACATATTGTCCAGACTCTAATACATACACACATATTGTATGTACTACATTCTCGGTAAAGGTTAAACCAATGCGTTTATAAATAGATTGATCATCTTTCCTAAATCTTACCAAATTAGCTTCCTTAAACTACACCAGAGAATATACTCTTTATCACATAGGTTATGTATAATGTTTTCTGATTATGTATAATCAGAAAATTATGCAAATAAATATTTGTAAAGTCTAATCAAAATGTACAACGAATCTAAAGTTTTTCTCAATTTCTACTGACGAATATACGTTTATTTGTCCAAGACTTATTATGAGCTAACTATGAATTTGTAAAGGTTTTTTTATTTTCCTATATATATACTCAGTCAGCCAAGCTGTTTTGATCAAGTATGTACATGTAAAATGCTTGGTAGTGTACTTTGTGAGGATTTATGTGAATTTGGTGTCAAGACTCTGCTGAAAGGAGACTCTGCTCGGTATTTGGCACCAGACGCTTGGCGCTGCCAAATCAGTGGCAAATCTTCCCGGAACCTTGTAGCGAAACGGATTGTTTCAAGAGGGCAAGTCGGTCGGCCACATGTGGCAGATGTGGCAGCGCCACAATGCCACAGCGCCAATGAAAAAGAAAAATAATCAGACTATAATATCAACACGTACTATCGGGAATATCTAACTATGTACATCGCAAATAGTCATATGATAACATTAATTTTTAATTTATTTCTTTGAATATTAGGGTATAGGCGCAAAATGCTAAAAAAATTTAAAGATTTCTGTTCAATATACAAACATATATATTCAATGTATATCAAACAGTATGATTAATTAACAACGTAATTATCAAATAAATTTATATATCCAAAAAATAATGTATATAAACTTACCGGTTGCATCCACTGCAATAAAATCTCTATGCTTGCTGCATCAGGTGTTGAAGGAAGACTTGGGGAACTCTTAATTGCAGTCACAAGATTTCTTGTAGCTTCTTTTACTGAATCTTTCCATTCTGCTGTTCCTTCGTTATTACTTTCTATACAAGCACCTGTATGCAAATGTTTTATGGATAAATTAAACATGCAAATATACGTTACTTTTCATAAGAAAAATAAGACAATTAACAACTAAGAAATACTTCTTAAGTATTTTAAATCCTTAAACTACCACCAGTTTAGCATGTCTGGAGTAGAACATCAAATGAAGAAAGATGAGAAAATAATATTAACTATTTGAACTAAAAAGATAAGTGATAAAGACATTTCCTTTTGAAATAACGAATTAACAAAAAGATAACGTTATAAAAGATGAGTGAAAAATAATTAGAA